AGCATGTTAATTGAGCTTACAGCTCTCAGCACTAAGTTTATTGAACGATCTCAAAGAAAATGTAAACCTTTCCGCTACCCAAAGATAGTCAGTTTATTTCTATATTTTCTATGATTTTGACTTGTTTTATGTCCTCTTCGAACTGTCGACCGACCAGTGTCATGAATTCACAAACGTGAGGAATACCACTAAGATCCTCATACAGTATGATCAAAAAGTTGTACGATTTCCTTGAATTCATAGGGGCTGGGAATCCTTTGAGGTAACGTCTTAGCGTGGATAGCCCTGGTTCCCAGTGAACAACACACTCGACCAACATGTCACTGAGACACGATATAATGCCTATATTGAAGTCAAAGCCCAACATATGAGGTCGACCATTTCCATAGATGACTTTGGCAAGACGACAAAACGAATATCCAAATGGAAAATATTCTCCTCAGAATTTTAATGAGGCTTTCACAGTTCACATTATAGGGCTGCGTTTTCTGGCCCATATGAGAATTTTGTCGTGCATGCTGTCAGTGTGGCACCTGTAGAGCAGTGGTTAGAGATGTCCTGCAATACACATAGGACCGGCCCGACGCCGTAGGTTCACCAAGCCTTCCAACCCTCTGGCGACAACAAAGACGTACCAGACTTGCTGCGAGGGTATCAGCACTGACCCGTTATATCGGTACGCCACCGCGAGTCACTGTAAAGGTCAGATATGAATTCAGTCACCTCTAAAGAAGCTTAACGAAGTCAAATGCATGGCGAATCTCTCAGGGATTGATCAACGTGGAGAGCTTTGTCTTTTTTATGTCATCACTAATACCACTCAAGTAAACACTTTACGTTTCGGGGTTTCGAAATCGTTCCATAGCGGATCGCAATGATTTGGTTGCAAGTGATAGTAATAGAATACGTTATGTATTTCTACTGAATCTTTTCCTCTAATACTTAACATGACTTCTTGTGTTCGATTTACCTCATTAAAACTCTTTGAGAGTTGTTTTGTGGAGTTTTTCACATAAAAGAAACTAGTCGCAATAAATGCTGCTTTTAGTCTCATTTCCTCAAGAGATAACTTGAGAGCATTTCGTGATCGTGCTTCTAAAATCCAGGACTTTCCGACGGAACAAGCTGAGAACGTAAACTAACAGTATGTATATGATTTTGTTGTATTATTATGGCAGGGTGATCTGAAGTTATAGCGGTCTTACAAACCAAAGTGGCTTGAATTCCTCATTACCTCGGAAGCCTCTTTTATTTCTTTTTTAACTTCCTCTTATAAGCTTTTTTAATTTAGAGTAAAAAGAATCTTGTACCTGAGAAAATTTGATACGTTTACATCGATATCTATTAGCCTAAATAATTTGACTTTTCTACCTTAAACAACAACATTGAAACTTGTCAGATATTGATTATAAATAAAACCAGTAAAACACGGAGAGCTTTTCCTAAATGAGACAGGTTTTCTAACCTTGATAAGATTAATTAATTCCTGTTCCTGAGGAGTTCTCAGAACGTCTTTTCCGCTCATTCTTTTCCGTTGAAGTTCAAATCTCGCAAGGCGAAGCGAGTGAATACAGGAGGGACTTCATCTTACAACTGGGCACAGTGGTGTTCTCGAATGTTGATTCGAATGTTCTCGAATGTTGTCCCTTGCATTCGTTTTAGAAACTTCAACGTTTTTAAAATGGCATTTTCACTTTTTAGATTCTAGTTTAAAGTTGTCGAATAAATCTAACGTTTTAAAACAGCTATATGGTATATATGCATATTAGAATAATAGAGTAAGACCTGATTTAAATGCAAATTTCTCAGCTTCCTAACTGCTCAAGAGCTGCAGTTAGTGTAGAAGCATTGGAATTTGTCAAAAAACCATCCTTCTGCCAACATAAAAAAACACAGAAGAGAATAAAACTTTATTAGTAGTAGAAAGGAACACTACATGTGATGGTGACTTATATATAAAAAGGTAAAGCGGAGTGGTTACATGTGTCCATCCGTGGTTATCCGTCGGTTCGATCTCGCTCACAGAGCCAACCGATGCCTTCATCTCTCCAAGATGGAAAAATTCATATTTGATTTGTAAATTAAGACAAAAACACTGATTTTATTCATTATTCGACATCAAAAAGTCATTGCAAAGGTTGGATGTGAATTCATTCGCATTCGCGATGCTACAGTACAAATGGAATCGAATGCATGTTGTAATCCTCAGTGAATGATTAACGCCTAACGATTTATTCTTTATCTTTACGTAGGGAAGTCCTGCATAAAGGCTTTTACAGCCCATATTTTGCTACCGCTGAAAACGATGTTTTATGTATCTGAATGAAATATGGCCCATTGGGAACAAGAAAGAATGTGTCAAAAATTCGCTATGAAGACGTAAACAGCAGTGCAACACGCAGAATTGCCAAAGCATGAATTTCAGAAAAAGAGTGATTCATAAGCCAGTGAAAAACATATAAACGAAGTACGACATATTTTATAAAATGCTTGGATGTGCTTCAGAATGTAATAAAGAAGGTGTGAAGCAGAGCATTTCATTACTTTTTAAAACATTGTTTGCATGACCTACTTTCACATCTACTGCTAGGATTCATATACTTCATGCGTTTTATTAGTTTCCTCTCATCTATCATGCAAGAAGACCTTTGAACATTACAAATGCAGGCTCGGATGGTGCTTGGGGATTGTGGTTTTCTCACTGAGTGGTTTTGAATGCTGGTCGAGTCGATTCTCCAAAGAGTTCTATGTAGCTGTGCACGAGAGTTTCTGCATATATTTGAGAGCCTAAGTTGGACCAAAGCAAGTTGGGTAGCAATTTTGCAGCTCCTTCGGAATCATGAAGGGTTGGTGAGTGTGGGGCTAGGGATGGAGTCGAAACAGCCGCTGTGCATAAAAACAACAGATCCCAAAGTGATAACCAGTGCAAGTATAATTTGAGGCAGGTAATTTAGCTCCAGTGATAACTTTGTCGTTTGATCAAAATTTGTGCTTAAATGCTAATTGAGCTGAGTTTTTGTTATCTGGCTTAAAGGCAGTTAAATGAATTGGCAGCAAAATGCAATTCGAGTAAGTCCCGACAAAATCTTTTAAATACCCCAATCCATTTACACTAATATATAGTTTGATTGAAATCTAGATGTGCTTTCAATAATAACAGTTTTGTGTCCACTTTTAAAACAATACAAAAAAGTTTTCTTCATTCTATACAATTCGTAACACCGGCTTGTTTTATGAAAATAGGAATCGTTATTCCATTGTTTTTTGCATGTTTGGTGAATATCTTGGTTTATTGACCAGACTTAAAAATGATTGATTATCGACAAGAAGACACTGCCAGTTGGTGTTAGTTAATTCTACAGCTCCCCTCCAGTGGATTCGATTTGACGCTGAAATCCAGTACGTTGCCAGAAACCACAGCCTTGTGCTTGCCATTCGACGTAGATCGTTGAGGCTGTGAAGATGGTGATATGGTTGGAATGTCGTCAACACTTATGTTGAATATCTGTCTAGCAAGGTCACCAAAAATTAATCAAAATGCTCAAAATAGTTGATTTGATGTAGTGTTTTGGAGAGATATGCCAAAGACGTGATAAAATGAAGTTTGTATGTAAACAAGTGGGTAAGACCGCATTTTCAGTTGTCAAAGTTCAATAAAAAAAAAAGCAATAGCGGATCTTTTTTTTTCTAATTTCTTTTTTCTAATTTGCTTAACGTTTGCAGTTCATTTTAACGAATATGTTAATCGATAAGTATACTACGAGTACAAGATAGCTAGAAAACTAACAGATGAACTTCACAAAAATATTATTAATTTCATGCATGAATATATGGATTCTTTAAAAGGCATAAAAATCTACAGTTTAAATGGAAGGATTTAGTATTTTCGTGAAAATATGATATTCCATCACTCGGGAATCTAATGCTTTGAATTGAATTCCGCATATTGGTTTGCTATGATAGTAGAACAGAAAAGCCTAAACAACAGAATTCGCGTCCTCGATCGCTCTCAGTTATTCAAATTCTCTTTTATTTTTGTTACTTTATACACTATATGAGGAGTAGCGCAGTGGTACGAATGCCGTTTAACAATAAGGGTAAGGGATTCGACGACGCAAAAGGCCAACCGAGCCTCTTCTCTCTATGGCGTGAAAATTGGTGGTAAACTCCTCTGTTAAACTCCTTCCTATCTAGAGAGGCCGACGACTGCCTGTTTTGAAGACCTAGAAACGCCTGGAACGGCTATTTGAGGATCGGTTGGACCAGCATTCGACGGAATCCATAAAGAATACAAGGCCGTCAACCAGTTGTTGAACCTACTAAATAATCCAAAAACCATCGTGGAACATGGTTACAAGGAAACACATAAAATGAAACACGTGTGGAGATCAACATTACATGTGGTAGCGGGTCGTATAGATAAAATGAATGAAAACTTTATGCCGAAGATTTCTTTACACATTTTCTGTTTCTCTTAAATATGAACGAACAGTAGTGAAAGCAGACAATATAAGTGTAATCGAGTTTCTTTGATGGCAGTGAAAACGTCGTTGGTCAGTCTAAAATCAGTTTTCCATCGTAAAATTTAATCAGCATCTACCCGTGAAGCGCCCGTGAAATGTAAACGCTCAGAGTTTTACAGATCGTAAATCAAAACGATAGAAGACTTGTAGAATTAAGTGTTATTGAAAATCGTTTGTACAATTTCAACCCAACACTTAATTGCAACATAAAAAATTGTCTTGTAAAATGTTGCATGATGAAAGCATAGAAAACCGAACGCTACATGAAATCACTATAATAGAAAAACGGAAACACTGAACAACGCACTACTGACAACTAACGCGTATTCACAACTTCCCAACGTCAGAATACGATGGAAGCAAAATTTGAAAAACATTCACTTTAAGTTTAACAACAAATGGTAGTGGTGGACGTTTTAACAAAGACAGAATTAGACTTTGTTGGACGTTAATTCATAGAAAGACAGCCTAATTGATTCAATGCAGCTGAACTTTCTCAACGCCATCACGAACCATTTCATGTTGATCAGCGTCGTCTTCATGTTGTAATTTATGTACTGGAGCTATACACAATAGCACTGGCCTGTCGGTGGTTTTGATCTGAAGAACCCAAATTAGACATTTCGTATTCAGTAACTCAATGATCACTTCAGTGAACTTAATGATTCAGTAACAACAATACTATTGGTTAAAGTGGAATCTACCATACCATCTATCGTATCACTTCGTCTACAGAATATTACACTAAGAGGCAAATATGCATTATATTCACCTACAAATTAAAACAGTTGTTAATTGTACTGCATACGACGACAGAATAAGGTGGGTATTTTGTTTCTTCTTAAGTGAGGAATTTCAATGGTTTCATGAAAATACGAAGTTAGCAATGGATTTCTGCAACTCTATTTTGTTTGGCAGCTAGACAACTCCTCTGGGATTCATCAATTCACCGACACATGCCATGTATTTAAATCTACGAGAAATCAGCCAAAGTACGAATTATGCAACTTGCTATACGAGACGATTTAAATCTAGGTGTAAAGATTTCGTAAACCCTTCATTGGTTTCCACGCACTACATTTTGGTGATGGTCCCATGAAAAAAACGTAAAAGGGGCAGAATATAGCACTCAAACAGTCATGAATACATGAATTCTTTTTAATATTCACATTCATTACATTGATAGCAGTTTTTGCTTAATGAACACTCTTCTTGTAAATATATTGGTTCACTGCGTGCAGTCGGCACTGGAGACAAAGTCGTATTATACATTTCACCTACTTTTGTTACAATATTTGAAAGCTCTAGAATTCGATATGGTATTCATGTTAACCAATACAGTTATCAAGTAATCTGGGTTATTTTCTCAAGAGGTCGACCTAAACCGGGGGAACGCAGAAATTGATGTCAGCCAAACCATGAGTGCACATCAAAATCTGCAAGACCACGGACCGGCTTTGAAATAATTCCCATTTTCGCATCACTTCACTTCACTTCACTCACCACTGGTGGCATTGAGGGAGTAGTGCTAATCAGAGGCAAAGCGTTGTCCGATTTCATTGGATGAAGCATATCAATGCATTCAGATTCATCTGTAGCTGGTGATGATGCCCGTGCCGCAGCACAAGAAGTCATTCTTAAATGTAAGCAGGCAAAGAAAACTGTAATCACGAAATCTAAAAGAAGGACAGAACAGGTAGTTATATAACAGATGGAAAAGTACAGCGAGAATGACGCAAGAAAAAAAACCATAAAAAATCTTACGTTAAAGAGAAGGAAGCTTTAGCGCGAAGTAAATAACTCTCCACGAAGAAGAAAAGTATTGTCTAACCAATTTGCAAGCTATTAGACCCCTAAGCTTCAATGATAAGATCCATTAGTAAAAAAAATTCGATAACTTCCATATACAAAAAAACCTCTACTTCCCTAGAGGAAGAAGAATAGGGTAAAAACAAAAATTAGATGTGGGAAAATGCAAATGAATATCTGCTAAGAGTGAACATCAATAAGAATTTACCAATGAAAAGCAAAAATGAGGTAAAATGAAGGAAACTATAAGTGGGCGAATTGCGCGAAGAAGTAGAAGAGGTACTGTGTATAAGTCACTGCTTGCCTAAGCTGAAGCGGCACCAGCCACGCCTTCTCTAATGGGCACGAATCAACATGGACAAAGAAAACGAGTCAGATAATGCACGTTGAATAACTATACAAACGATACATAAACTAATGCGAATTAAGTAGTATTAGAAAAATTATAAAAAGTGATAATGAAATTCTCCTTTCGATAAGCACAATTATTATTTCAAAGATGTGTGGTGGGAAAGTAATAACAGGAATTTGCGAGCAGTGGTTGGAAGTGCCGTGCAAATACACAGGTAGTTCGATTCCGTGCCTCGAGGCCAACAAATAGCCGTGTTTCCACTTTCTATCAGCAATCACACGAGAAGGGGTGTATTGGAAGGGAAACAAATAGGCATTAAACCCAGTTAAGCTGACATCGAAATCACAATTTTTTAGCTTTCATTCTCTGTCCACATTTTATTTCGCTGACAGTACTAATACAGTAAAAACATGGCTGTTAGAAAGACAAAGCAAAGGAGGCGGTTGGTGTGGTGGATGACACTCCAGCCCTCGGCACGGGTTTGTTTTAATCACGGGTTCGATGCCTAGCTGAAGTTCCGAGTCTTGCTGATATATCAGCATCCTTATGGTTGCATTTCACATTATACTTTACTATGAAAAAAAGAATAGGCAGAAAATCATTATCATTATCACCGGACATTATCATTATATCCACCAAAAACATCGTGTATAAAAGAGCATCACTGAGTAAGGATGCCTCATTCGAGGAGATGGCTCACTGAGGAAGACCTGACTCGACACGAAGGCGAAGCTGCCACGTCGAGACGAATAACAAGCGAGGACCATCGACTCGGATCATCGGCTCTGAGGAAGACGAAGACGTCGAAACGTTAGCCGAAAATAAACATTATCAACCTCGTGTAAGCTCATCAAAGAACGAATAGAATAAAAAATATTCTAAATCGCCTGCAGAAAATAAAACTGTTGGGAGTGGAACAGCAAATCGGTGATCATAGTGATTTCGCTCCACAGAATCTAATAAAATATGCGTTATGAGGAGCGTGTGTGGTGCACTGGTCGGAGGCGCCCTACAACACAGACGTGGAATCGATCCCGCGCCCATAACTCACCAAGTGTTCCATTCTTCTGGGGTGGGCAAATTGGTGCCAAACTTGTCTGGAAGGATAGCAGCAATGCCTCGATACATCGGTAGGCCACCGCGAGTCATCCTGAAGGCCAGATATGCATTCAATCACCTCCAAACGATGCTTAATGAAGTTGAATGCATGGTGCATCTCTCAGGGATTGATCAAAGCCGAGAGTTTCATCGCTTATCATTTTATGCGCTATATTTCTTTAACAACGCATAAAAATGCAGATTGAATAATCTTCATGTAACAAAAAAGATGTCATATCCGAACCAATCGCTGCACACCACAAAGGTTGGTGTAGAGATGAAATACTGATATGAGCTTCCCTATCTGGAGAAAAATCCAGTTTGTTCAGTATGTAATTCATAACAGTCATGACTCCTGAAGTAACTGTGTAAAGTCCATACAAAATACTTCCGTAAAATTGTTAGAGCAAAGAAGGCTTCGTGAAAACGAAGACACTATACCATTGAAAAACATTCTAAAGATAGTAGATTTCTAAAGCGATCTAGACAAATGTCTGAAAAAATTTACACCTGTAAAAAATTGAAAAGAGAGAGATTTAAATCCTCAGGGTTTCTGGTCTTAGTTATCCGTAAGACTGCAAAAGTTCTAATCAAACGCAGAAGTTATCCCCATTTTGGAAAACTCTAATTACGAGCGGTAGCGCTTTCTGAGGCAACGCGGACCAACGGCTGTGCCACTCAAAACGACTGAAAGTGAGGTCCAATGCAATGAGCACTGGACACTCTCGTCTACAGGTAGGGCGGTCAGCTATTAGTGAGAATGGAAGCTACTGATTTCTTGAAATCGTATACATAATTGGTCAAATTCCACATATTTAATCTAAAAGAAACAAAGTGCATGAACAGCGTCGAAATGCGAATAGGAAAAGGGACTTTCGTCCTCCCATCTACCATGAGAAGATTAAGCCACGAAATTTTGATGGGTTTGGTCCTCTCAAACGTATTTTCTTTGCTTATCACGTCGATTTACATAATTTCAGTGTTGCTCAATCGATCATCTCTGTTCGTCTATCGCCTCAACCCTAGCATCGGAAGAAAATTGGCACCATTCCCTCAAATAATCAGTTTGTAAGCAATTCAAATAATCACACAGTCGTCAGTCACTTAGTTTTCAATACGTGATTTTATCACATTGCTCTCCTAGGTCTTATTCCAAAACGTGCCACTTCGTTTACAATTTCTGTTACTGTTTAAAACTATACAATTGTTATTTTGACTTATTATTTACTGCCTACTCTTTTTAATTGCAGGGCATATTGCGAAATATAACTTCAATGATGCTGAGATAGTTCCCAGGATCGACTTTCTATTAACCTTGGCATTGGAATATGAATGCGTCGTTTTCTTGTTCAGCAATCGCGAGGTTTTTAAACAGCATGCATTTACTTCCACAGAGAAACACAATACAATACAACAGTAGCTGACGTCTCGGCAGTATTACCTTCTTCAGAGCCCGGAGAGGTATATTCAATAACACATACAAAAAGACGAAAATCTCTATAGCAATAACATGATCAACAGCTTCCCGAAAAAACACCGCCTTCAACGTGACCTCCACTTAAGAAGATTAGAACACCTGATTATAGCCGCATACAGTCTATGACCGACGGTTTTGCCTAACCGCTGTCGCTGTTGTGCCAAAGCACTATACAGGACCAGACCATGTCCTCCTTCGTGCAAGATTCCATTTCTCGCAGAAAGGAGAAAAGCCGCTACATTCAAAAAACAAAGCGCCAAAACTTCTATAAATTAAGACTTATTTAACTCACTAGCCGGCTGTTGGGAAGTTCCGGTGTCGATAACATTGACGAAGAATACGATCCGCTCATTCAATATTTTCAGGTTAGCGCTATAAATCCTGAGAGACCGAAAGTCACCAAGAGACGTTTGTCTCCAGAAACATTCGGGCTGATACGCCAGCGTGGATTCGCACGAGCTGCAGACAACTGCGAACTAACGCCCGAACTTGCAAAATAATACAGACAGGCGATAAAAGAAGATTTTAAAGAGAGAAGAGCAGTAGCAATGGTCGAAGCTGCAGAGGTTGGGAAAGGATTTGCGAAGCCCACCGAAGCCTTGTCAATTACAAGACCAAAACGATTGCTCTCTTGCGCCCAGACGCAATAGTTACAGCGTCCAGAAAGTCAATGGAGAAAATCATTCACGAATACTACTCAGATCTCTTCGATAACCACATCCACATTCTGCCATGTGAAATAAAGGAGGATGGATATGTTGTACCACCGGTTCTCCCTTCCGAAATCCGACATGTCATTTTGTCGGTGAAAAATAACAGCAATTTCATTGTTTCATTTCATTCATTTGCCATATTGGTGTTCTTTTATACGGATACACAAAGGTGTGCAATTTCGTAATTTGCCCATACGGCAGGGACGCAGATTGCATGAGTTCAGGTACGATATACCTGATCTCTTGTAATAATTGCCGCGATGAATATATTGACGAAACAGGCGGACCTTTGTGTCCGTATAATACCTAGATGGCAAACGAAAACGGAGACGAAGCACCCCACTAGGCACGCATAAGATACAAAAGCATAGCGGAGACGATTTTGAAGTAAAAGCCAATATCCTTGCACAGGAGACTAAAACACCAGCGCGAAAACTTCTTGAGGCTTTTTGGATAAATGCCAAAAACCCTACAATGAATAGCAGGGAGGAATGCCCAGAGGTCATATGCGACCTGACCCCGCATGTTCGCATCAAATTCTGATGTGGCATGGTGCAGTCTTCAACCATGTGCGACTATAATCAGCTGTTTTAAGCTTCCTCATTGGAAGTCACGTAAAAAGTTGAGAAGCTGTTGATCATGTAATTACCAAAGAGTCTTTCGTCTTTTTGTAAGTGTTGTTGAAGCGTTTGGCCTAGTAGACTGTATATCAGTATACCCTTCCAGGCTCTGAAGATGGCGATGCTGCCGAAACGTCAGCTAGCGTTGTATTGCATCGTATTTCTCTATGGAAGTAAATATATGCTGTTTAAAAACCTTGCGATTGCTGAACAAGAAAACGACTATGGATAAAAGTAATACTTTAGTAGGATACTTTTCGCATTAGATTTCCGTGCCTCCTTTTCATATTGGATTTTCGTACTATAGATCGTCTGTTCTAAACCACAGAAAAATTTTGCCAAGAGATTCGTAATTTCCTATGAAGAATATTGGACCGTATCCTCCAACGAAAAAAAGCAAACTTTAGCAAAAAAGATATAATATGTTCTTCTTCTTATGTTTGTTGAGCAAATGCGAGGTGTTATTATTCCTTATTCGCGAATAAGCTGACGTTTCGGCGGATTTCGCCTTCCTCAGAGCCTGGAAGGGTCAATCTACTCGGCCAAACGCCTCCATAACCAAACAA